CTCTCTCTCTCTCTCTCTCAAGTTAATGAATAGTGTGAGACAAAAACAAAATAGCATCCACGTCAGAGCAGATGCTCCAGGCTGTTTCTCAGAAATAAGTAGTTCTTTCTGGCCGTGTTAGAATCTGAGTTGTCACATTTACTGATTTATTGTAGACCCTCCCACCTGTAACATTCTGGACTTCTTTGTATACTTAAACATAGCCTGTTGTAGGTTGTACATTCCAACATACAACTAGATACAGGAAACTAGTAACCCTAGATCATTCGTGTGTGTTTTCTAGTCACCTTGGATATGTATGCTATTTCCTGATAAAGCTCCACAATCCACAGGTGAACCTCTGGTTCTCTGTATAAATGCCCATAGATGTGTGTGACAGCTATTCTTCATTACCAACTTGACTACATCTAGAATTAAATAAAACCCAAATGATTAGCCCTACACCTGTGAGAGACTTTTTTTTTCTAAACTAAATCATTTGAATTGGGAACCTACTTCCAATCTGGATTTTTGAGGAGGGAAGATCCACCTTTAAACTGGACCATATCTTCTGGAAGCCTAAATAAAGGGCATGAAAGAAGGGAGCAAGCTGTCTCTTTGCCTGCTTGCCCTCGTTCCCACTCTCATTAGCAAGTCCATTCCTTTACTGACATTAGGACCCTGCTTCTTTAGGATTCTGACATACACTGAAGACAAGCCGAGGCATCCAGCCTTGTGAACTGAACAACTGCTGGATTCTTGAACCTTCTGTTGGTAGATAGTCGTTGGTGAACTTCAGTTCTTCAGTTGTGTGGATGTGTACATGTACATATGCATATAGGTGTGTATGTGTATATATACATATATATGTATTCTATGAATACATGTATATATTATATTCATTTTATAACTTCTGTTGCTCTAGATTCTAGCGTTCTAGAGAGAGTCCAGTTGGCTTATCAATAGGGAAAAATACTTTCTTCTTTTTTAATTGGGTATTTTATTTACTTATATTTCAGATATTATCCGCTTTCCCCATTCCTTCCCCCAGAAACTCTCTATCTCATCCCCCCTCCTCCTGCTTCTATGAGGGTATACCTGAACCCACCTCCCCACCCTTGAATTCCCCCACACTGGGCTATTCAGCTTTCACTGGACCAAGGACTTCTTTTCCCACCTATGCCCAGCAAGGCCATCCTACCCTACATATACAAATGGAGCCATGGGTCCCTCCCTCTGTTCCGGAGCTCTCAGGCTTGCAGTTTAGTCCTTGGGCACTCTGGCTGGTTGGTATTGTTGCTCTCCCCATGAGGCCACAATCCCCTTCAGCTCCTTCAGTCTTCTCTCTAACTCTTCCATTGGGGAATATCCGACTCTGTATATGTCAGGCTCTGGCAGACCTCTAAGGAGACAGCTATATCAGGCTCCTGTCAGCATGCACTTCTTGGCATCTACAACTGCATCTGCCTTTGGTGACTGCACATGGGATGGAAACCCTGGTGGGGCAGTCTCTGGACAGCCCCTCCTTCAGTCTCTGCTCCACACTTTGCCTCCAAATTTGCTCCCATGAGCATTTTGTTACTCCTTCTAAGAAGGACCCACACTTTGGTCTTCCTTCTTCATGAGTTTCATGTGGTCTGTGAGTTGTATCCTGGGTATTGTGAGCTTTTGGGCTAATATCCACTTATCAGTGAGTGCATACCATGTGTGTTCTTTTGTGATTGGGTTACCTCACTCAGGATGATATTTTCTAGTTTCATCCATTTGCCTAAGTATTTCATGAATTCATTGTTTTTAATAGCTGAGTAATACTCCATTGTGTAAATGTACCACATTTTCTGTATCTATTCCTCTGTTGAAGAGCATTTGAGTTCTTTCCAGCTCCTGGTTATTATAAAAAAGGCTGCTATGAACATAGTGGAGCATTTGTCCTTGTTATATGTTGAAGCATCTTTTGGGTATACGCCCAGGATTGGTATATCTTGGTCCTCAGGTAATACTATGTCCAATTTACTGAGGAACCACCAGACTGATTTCCAGAGTGGTTGTATCAGCTTGCAATCCCATCAACAAATGAAGGATTATTTCTCCTTCTCTACATCCTTGCCAGCATCTGCTATCACTTGAGTTTTTGATCTTAGCCATTCTGACTGGTGTGAGGTGGAATCTCAGGGCTGTTTTGCTTTGCATTTCCCTGATGACTAAAGATACTGAACATTTCTTTAGGTGCTTCTCGGCCATTCGAGTTTCATCAGTTGAAAATTCTTTGTTTAGCTCTGTACCCCATTTTTAATAGGGTTATTTAACTGTCTAGAGTCTAACTTCTTGAGTTCCTTGTGTATATTGGATATTAGCCCTCTATACGATGCAGGGTTAGTAAACATCTTTTCCCAATCTGTTGTTTGCCATTTTATCCTATTGACAATGTCCTTTGCTTTACAGAAGCTTTGCAATTTTATGAAGTCCCATTTTTCAATTCTTGATCTTAGAGCATAAGCTGTTGGTGTTCTGTTCAGAAATTTTTCCCCTTTGCCCAAGTATTCAAGGCTCTTCCCCACTTCCTTTTTCCCCCACTTTCTCTTCTAATAGTTTCAGTGTATCTGGTTTTCTGTTAAGGTCCTTGATCCACTTAGACTTGAGCTTTGTACAAGGAGATAAGAATGGATCAATTTGCAGAAAAAATATTTTCAATGGGACCATTTAAAAATTATCTGTTTCGGGGGACCGGAGCCATTACAAGGTACCCTTTAATTACTGGAGGTCAGGCCTCTATCCCCACCTTCGCAAGATTAGAATAGCCATAGCACTTCTATACTTAGAGAAGGGAGGAGATGTCAGGGGCATCCGTGCTTACACACTGAAGGCCTAAAATCGGCCATAGGCCTAAAATCAGCAATAGGCCTGTCATACATGTATACTAACACCAAGTCTTGGGTCTCTGTGGAAAAACGTTGAAACAGATGGCTATAAGCAATTGTAAACAGGCAGATTTCATGGAAATTTACCAGCCTGAGGAGTCATAGACCTTGTAAATAGGTAGCTATGGCAGACAATACCAACTTAGATAAGGACAAGTGAATCATAGGCAGAGTCATAGTGATCTGTCCGCTGAAACTTCACCCAGCCAATACCCTGTTCTGAAGGATATCTGTATTCCCCCTGAACACCCATGCTCCAGTGTCATCCTCTTCCCCACGTCCTGTCTTTCTGTGTTTATAACCCCTGTGTGAATGAATTACGGTTTGAAGAAAAATAAATAAATTATTTTAAAAAAATTATCTGTTTCAATGCTGGGCAGTGGTGGCACACGCCTTTAATCCCAGCACTTGGGAGGCAGAGGCAGGTGGATTTCTGAGTTCGAGGCCAGCTTGGTCTACAGAGTGAGTTCCAGGACAGCCAGGACTACACAGAGAAACCCTGTCTCAAAAAAACCAAAAAAAAGAAAAAAAAGAAAAAGAAAAGAAAAAAGATCAAAAGAAAAAAGAAAGGAAGGAAGGAAGGAAGAAAGAAAGAAAGAAAGAAAAATTATCTGTTTCTACTTCCCTAGATAGGATACAACATGTCTCATGTAGTGTTTCAATGCCATAGATCTAGCTTCATAGATATCTGTGGTGATCAGTAACAGTACTGCTACTAACTAGCCTGATTAGCTGTCATCCTGCTTGATTTCCTCTCTTGTCTCCTTGTTTATGAATGGAGCTGACATGGCCATTATGTGAGCAGATCCAAAGCAAACAAACAGAAAATCTTACTCTCTTCGCACATGATAAATATCAAAGAAATATTTGCGTTATGGTCTCTATCTTTTCAAACTTAATATTTTTAGACAGGTCTAAGTACTAAGCACTGGTTTTAACTTTTGTCCCGAATCTGGCTTGCTGTGAGAATAAAGAGAGTTTTGATTAGAGTAATCTCTACAGGAATCAGAACAATATACCCCTGAGGTACTCACTTACCACAGATGAAGTTAAATTCATGTCTCCCCAAATAACAATGCCTGCAGCTCCCAGTGCAGCACTTTCTCCTATGGTACTAATTAGATCTTGCTGGATGGAAGAGAACAGAGTTAATCAGTCATTGGAAGATAAATCAACTCATCAGGAATTAAGATTACAGGATGAGACAAAATACTCCCTAGAAACCACCCCCTGCTTTCTTAGAGGGACATAAATGTAAAGTAGACTGATGGTCAGAATCATATTCTCTGGTCACATACAACTGTGTGTGTGTGTGTGTGTGTGTGTGTGTGTGTGTGTGTAGACAGAGCTTCACTGGGTAGCCTTGGTTGTTCTTGAACTCACTATATAAATCAGGCTAAACTCAGATTCATAGAGATCGCCCTGCCTTAGGTTGCCCCTGAGTACCTGGATTAAGAGAGCAAAATACCGAGCCGGGCGGTGGTGGCGCACGCCTTTAATCCCAGCACTCGGGAGGCAGAGGCAGGCGGATTTCTGAGTTCGAGGCCAGCCTGGTCTACAGAGTGAGTTCCAGGACAGCCCGGGCTATACAGAGAAACCCTGTCTCGAAAAACCAAAAAAAAAAAAAAAGAGAGCAAAATACCGTGCCTGGATAATATAAATATTTAAAAAAAAAAACACTACATTTTAATAGGCAGGGTATTACTTTTAAATAACTGGTATAGAAATAGTCACCAGAAGTTGTTTCTTTGAAGTTGACTGGGGACATTTGCTCACAAGCAAATATATAAATGCTTAAACAGAATCTAAAGATTTTCCTTTTCCCAAGACAAACCTTTTAGCTTCCTTCTCTAATCTGTCACATACCTCTTGGGAGCTTCGCCAGCACAGTCACTCAAGTGGCTTCTTGTCCTCTTGAATTCAAGCCAGGCAAATGTACAGTGTTTATTGTCACCATGCTATGACTTTGTCCAGACTTTATATTTGGCCCCCAAAACTATATTTTATTTTAAAGTGCCGGATGTAATGGAGACTATAACTAAGATTCATCTAACAATGACAAATCCACAAGGATTTCTCCAAATATGGTTAAGATAAAGAATATCAAAGTTTCAGAAGGAGGAATTTGTGTTTTATCATTTAAAGACTATCTTAATGCCCAAACATGATTGTGAACCTAGGAAATATAAGAGAGAAATAAGATTTGGATATATGTTGATGGTTTCCTAGCTTATTAAATTATAATGTATTCTCTCTCTATTCTGGATACTAAACACTTATCTTTTACTCCAGGGATAAATTTCCCTAAGTGATAGAAAATGATTAGAGAAAAATTACAAGCAAAAAATATCAAACTTTTTTTTAACTTTGGCCACCTTATCATAACATCAATACCTGGGAGATTACTCTTGGTCTGACAGGTCTACAGTGCATCAACCAAATTAACAATTTACAGTGTCCATCTTTATACAGATTTTTACAGACATTTTTCTGGGGATTTTTGAAATGTGAAGAGGGAGTTAAGTTTAAACTAATTTACCTTTCTGGTTCATTTCCATTCTCTAAGACCATACTATCAGACAGACAAACAGAACAGGAAGGGGAGGTTCTTTGAGGGCTCAAATGGAATGTACATAAAAGGGTTTGGAAAATTGTTGGCTGTCTGGTAAATGCAAGCAGAAGAGAAATCACCCATGCAGTGCCCAGATTCTAGGCCGCAGGATGTACATCTGTTGACTCAAAGACATAAGTGAGAAAAATGCAGACCACTGACTTGAAACAGCCTTGACACCAGCAAGATGATAGCCACACAGTGTGATCAGAAGGAAGTCTCCAAGAGCCTTGCATAGGATTAAGGAGGCATTATCAAAGGAGAAATGGGACATAGCATTTGTATATTGTATTAAGTCACTGATTTACATTCAGTAATATGGAAGTTACAGATTTATGTGGTGACAGTCATACCTTCTAAGGTTATATTAGTTTAAGTATGCCGTTTCTTTAGCAACATTATGAAAAATGGTTTACTGGGATAAATTGAAGACATAGCAAGTCTTGACCAAAGATAAGAAGGCAGTAACTTTTTTTTTTTTTTTTTTTTTTTTTTTTTTTTCGAGACAGGGTTTCTCTGTATAGCCCTGGCTGTCCTGGAACTCACTCTGTAGACCAGGCTGGCCTCGAACTCAGAAATCCGCCTGTTTCTGCCTCCCAAGTGCTGGGATTAAAGGTGTGCGCCACCACCGCCCAGCCAGGCAGTAACCTTTTAAAAAGTGATTTTCATATTAATTTACTGCAGTCTGGCAGAGATCAAATTGACAACTGAATCAGAGACCAGGTATGATCTGGGGATCAGAAAAGCAAAGACTCTAGGGAAGAAGCTATCAGGAAGATACTTTGGGGAATATACAAGGACCACCTGAGTCGGGCCGTGGCACGCCTTTAATCCCAGCACTTGGGAGGCAGAGGCAGGCAGATTTCTGAGTTTGAGGCCAGCCTAGTCTACAGAGTGAGTTCCAGGACTACACAGAGAAACCCTGTCTCGAACCTCCCCCAAATCCCTCCCAAAAAACCACAAGGACCACCTAAGAGTTGGAGCTGCATGGATAGTAAGAAGGAAGGAACAAAGTAGTTGTAGCAAAAACGAGCACACCGGGGTCCCAGAATGGCCTCTGGGTCCCAGAATGGCCTCTGGCCTCTGTGCTTTTGCACATTATCCTCTGATTCGAATCATTGTTTCAGAAGTTTATAAGTATTTTGGTTGCAGAAAAAAGAGAATGAATAAAAACAGTCTGGAATTAGCCAGAAATTATTCCTCTATCCACACTAGCTAATTTCATAGTGTCAAGATGTCAAGCAGGCTACTAGTAGAAAAAAAAAAAAAGACACCAATGGCCTTACCTATGATAGTGGTAGATGATAATTGCCACCTCAGCAAGATCCACTCACTGGTACAATAATGTCACATCTGTTAGAAGGATAATCAACCACTTTGTGCTTAGATTTGTATTTTTCTTGACAGGAGGGAATTCAGGTCTAGTAACGAAAACCTGGTCAGAGGCCTATGGCTAGTGAGGCCATAGGCCTTAGACAGAAACCTACTACCACACTTTTGCTAAGTGGTCATATTGCCAGCCTGTCCTTAATCACTTGTATTTATTATATCCATAAACATGTGCTATTCTTAACTCCAGTCAGAGGAGTTTCTTGCAGCAGTGAGCAGTGATTCATAAGCAAATTCATAACTGTGTCAGTATAGAGAATACGAGTCTATAAGTGTCCAACCCTAATTGAGATATTATGTCATTCCTCCACACCCTCTACTCTTCTAAGGTTTAGAAAACAACATGGATATGGAGGCAGAAAGGATGCAAGAGCTGGTAAGTGAGAAGGAGTGCTTTGACCTGCTGCCTTCTCTACATGCTATGACTACTGCACGTGTGAGCTCACAACAGCTACGCTTTCCTGAACAAGATGGAGCTATTTAAAATTCTAGTCTAACAGGGGGCAGAGAACCCATATGGCTCCACTCCTTTGAGAAGCTATTGGAAGTTGGTGGTTGTTGGAGAGATAAAGACTCATTTTTTCTTTGGGGCTGTAGCTACTAGAAACTCAATAATGGTCCCATAAATGGTTCCACACCCATATCCAAGCAGCTACTGAGAGACCAGATCTTGGATTCAGACTCCATCTTAGAGAACCTGACCTAAGGTTGACCTCTCTAGCACCAGTTTCCAGGATACTCTCCAACAAACCTGTGTCTCCAGGTTACAAGCCTGGCCCTGGTATTTCATTTCCTAGCAACTACCCATCAAGAGGAAAGCAGAAGTTAAGTTTATGGTTTGGCTCCCAGCACCAGTCAATTATTTCAAAGGACAACAAAATTCCATAATAGCCCCCCAATCAGATGTGGGCCAGGCTAGAGACACCCTCTCTTGCTTGCCATTTCCTATAAAATCTTGCCCTGGCTGAGAGCTCAGGACTTCACCCTTCTGTCCTGCTGCATCACAGACAGAGGTGTGCCCTAAGCTCAAGCTTGAATAAAAAGATGCTACTGTGGTTGCGTTGGAATTGGCTCCTTGGTGGTCTTTTGGGGCTTGCAAATGGGCACTACAATAACACTAACTGAACTAAGTGTGTTATTAAAAAGACCAGAGAGAGTTGAAGGGCAAAGTACAATGTGGATATAATCAAATTATATTATGTACGTGTAAGGGAACACAAAGAAGTAGTAAAGGGTAGGATGCCTAGAGGAATCATCTTTCATCCTTAGTTTTGGGTCCCTGGTGCTTACCAGAGTTTATATTAGAAAGCAGTGTACTAGTGGGAGACGTAATGGAATAACAGAGTCACTAAGGAACTTACTTTATATGATAACAGAGAAATGAATTACTTACAGAAAAGCATTTAAATCTTCAGCCACAGAAACACCTTTCATTGCTTTTATAGAGCATGACATCACATTGTGTCTAGATTGAATTTATGTATTGGTAGTGCAGGCCATCTTCCCAGTGAAATGAGGTATCACTGCCTCTGTATTGTTCTCCCAAGATATGACTGCTGCCTGAGATTCTTAGATAGTTCGTGGTTAAGTTCAGGGCTTTGATACTTGTTTTAAAATGACAGCTATTCCATGTGCATTTCTGAAGTGATTCAACATTTCACACGTCTTTTCTTATTTGATTTTTATCATACTTCTGTTAGATTAGATCAGTGGGATAGATGATTCCCGCCCCGACTCCCTGGTTTTGTTTTGTTGTTGTCAACAACTAAGACACTGAGTTCTGGGAAGGTTAAGAGATAGGCTATCCAATCCTAACTGTATGTATGTACGCATTCTAAAATACAGACATATTAGAGAAAAAAATGGAAGCTCTTCATAGTCGTTCAGAGTTTTGGAACAAATGAACATCAGATTTTCTTTAATTTATGAGTAGAAGTTTGTTATGATAGGTTGAAAGCAGTGGTGTGAATATGTTGATGTTCTTAAACACTTGAATAGCAGCTCCCCTTTCAGAAGGAGATGAAGCCTAAATGCTGATGACGCTTTCCTGGGAAGGAAGAGTAGCATTTCTAAGCTATCACTATTAAAAATGTTACCTGAGCCATTTGCAATGTGCAGAATTGTACCAGCACACTAAGCTGTCTTTCCAAATGGACATTGTCCCTTTAAATTTTAGAGTTCTGTTTTTCAAAACTAAATGAATCATCACTAAAAAAGGGACATTATTAATACATATATATATATATATATATGTATATATATTAGAAGCTTAAAATACACTTTCTGAGATATATAGCATATATTATATATACTATATATATAACATATATATGAATATGTATGTGTGTGTGTGTATGTGTGTCTTATGTTTTAACTTTCAATTCCAGAATCATGGTTGTTCTATCAAAGTTGAAATAGCTTTTCCAAACCTCCCAAAAGTGACCTCTTGCCATTCTTTATTCAACTTTTCCAGCTTATTTTTGGGGTTAGTGTGAGTTTCAGCTGAGAGTGAAGACTTTCACCTTCTGGATAGTGTTGGAAACACAGCATTGTCTACCTCCCACTGATATGCAGCCTCTCCTTTTAATGAGTATACGCAGTAAAGCCCATACCTGAGTGTTTCCTAAGTATCCACCTGAGGCTGTCAAATGCTCAGAACATCTTTTGTCTTGCAGCACAGGCTGGTCAACTGAAAGTTATAATAAGGAGAGAAAAGAAATGCCTCTGTTGAACTATCTCAAACCCTTTGGTGGTGAGTGAAATGGAGAGATATTATTGTGTCATAAATGGAATGGCTGAAACAGGTTTCAAGTCTTCTCGGTGCAGAAATATGTATACCCTAGTACCCAAATCCATTCTTTTTCCTAGAAGTTACTATTTAAGTGACCTGAGCAGCAAATGGAGGGAAAATCAGGCTGAAAATCATTTAGTTTAAAGGTTACTCTTCTGGAACAGAAGATGAGGTCTCTGGCAACATATATAACTTGAGTGAAAATAATCCAGTACAAAGTCCTCTCAGAGTTTTAACCTGAGTTGTGAAACTTTTCAAGGTTAGCATTGAATTTCCAAGCACACGCCACTCTACCAGATTTCCATTAGCAGATCAGAGAAGAAACTATATCTAAGATGGCTCAGTCTACAGGATTACATATTTTCTTTATATTTAGAATGTCTTTTGTTCTACTTTTACATGTATGGCCAAATAATCCCATTTGAAACATCCTCTCTAATTTCTTAAACCTATACACCACAAACTATTTTAATAATCTCCCACAATAGCCAGTCATAGGGAATTCAGTAGCTGCTAGCATCATATGCTAGTTTTCTCCTACCTCACTGTGTCCTTTAAAAGGAATGCTAATAATAAGAAAGATAACAAATTTAGTTTCCATGAAGGAAGAGTCTAGGCAGATCAGTAGTCTAGAAAGAATAAGATGCAAGCGTTAGAAATTAACAAAGAAATCTTTCTTTTATATACACAGGAAATTCTCGACTATGGGGCAAGGAGAGTCTTACCTTAGAAAGGAAAAGTAAAGGTTCCTCTTTGTAGCCCAGTCGTGTGTAGACGAATACCGGCAGAGCGTAGTCATGTGATGTCATGGTGGAAATTCTTAGTGATTCACGCACCCGAAATCGTGAGAAGCGCAAAGTATTTTCGCTGTCTGCAGAGGATTTCCTAACACTGACAGCAGGATACAGGGCAGTGCTGCTGTTCCAGAGCCAAGAGAGGTCGTTGTTCTTTAAAACTTCCTCTTCTGGGCATGATCCAGTATAGTTTGTGGCATAAACATTATAATTGTGGCAATCAGGATATAGATAATAACCCCAAAGGCCCTTGGGTCTGCTCTTAATTCCCAATTTGATAGTTTCCTCCATGAAAGTTTTTGCACTTTTCTCAAAAGTTGCTTTGGCTGAATACTCAATATCCGCAGCGGATATGTTCTCTTTCATATGATTAATAAGAGTTCTTGACTTCTGTCTGTAGATATCCTTCGTGTTCCAGTTCCGGCTCCACTGTGGACGCCAGTGCTCCCAGTCTATAACAGCCAGTCCACTGAAATTTTCAGAAGGGATGTAATAATTAATATCCTGAGCAGCTTTTTCTAGGTGTACTTGTAAGCTTATGTTTTGGGGAAGACCACCATTGATGGGTACTCCTTCTGATGTATACCATGGGTAATATCCCAGTTTGTTGACATAAAATATAACAACATTTTGCCCCCTGTCTTTCAGCCGAGGGCTTCCAATCATCTGAAACACGTTTAAGTTCAGTGTTAACTTATATTTTATCAAACACAGGTCTGTTGGAGCATTCCAAGCAGCTATAAAAGGTTTCCTTTGATAAACTGGAAGTCGGGAAGGTTTTAGGGATGAGATAGATTTCAGGATAAAAAATATGAGCAGCCCTGATGTCAGATGTACTGGTTGAAAAACACAGAGTCTAAATTGTCCTTCAGACAATAGTTGCATGATAAGATAGAAACTTACACTACCTCTTCTTCAACGTAATCCAAAAGGCCTGTGGAGAAATTTGGTTTTCCGTTAGTAATTACTTCCGAGAGGATGAATGATGTTGCAGTCTGTTTATATTTTCAAAGTGCAATTTATTTTAAAATTACAACAATTCCGATGAAGTGAATTGAGATGTAAAATCAAGTGTCACGATCGGATTTCTACACAGGGATAAGCAAAAGGATTCAAAAAGTGTCCAGGGCTTCAAAGCCTGTATGTCCACAATAAAATATGAATCAGATGTGAGGTTCATGATGAAAAACACATGTGAAATAATACTTACAATCCACTTTGGAAAGCTTGGCAATATCAGGCATTACACTTAAAATGTTTTAATTATAACAATTATGTGACACTCTGTAATTGCACTTTTACTTCACAAAAGAGGAAACTAAGACGGAAATGGAGTGCTCTTATTGATGTCTCATTACATGAAAGATGAGGCTATACAAGCAAACACTAGAGAAAATGCTTGATAGGTTAGCAGAGTGGTTATTCTGGCTGTGAGGTCAGTGACAAGGAACGCTGCAGTGGAGGTGTCCTTGGGATGAGTGAGTAAGGGATGGAGAGTTTTCATGTTTCTTTTTTAGTCTTCTGGACAAAACTACAAAAGAATTACTTTTATGTAACTACAGGAAAGACCTGATTGATGTATAGTGTTCTGTTGTACCAGGGAAATAGTATGCTTTATGCTTAAGTATACCACCATGATGTTAAAGCACATAACAGACATTTGCTGATTTAAGTGCCCAGGAAACAGATTCCCTTTCTAGTTCCTCTGTGGTGAATCCTGTACCACATGTTTTGGTGAAATGTGGACATTTTGGTGAAATGTCTAGTACTTTGATAGGTTACTTTGAGTTTTTATTCGCTTTCATATGCTAGACCTGAAAATTACTATGAGTTTTGGTCGGTGACCTCTAGTGGTTAAAAGGATGATTGCAATGACTGAAATTCTCAGAAGTCAAAAAGAGGTTTCATAGGAAGAGCCTCTATCACAGTTTCTGGCTTGGAATAAAACCCACCGTATGTGAACAGAAAAGTTCTATACCATGGGAACAATGTTAGCACAAAACAGCAGAATCATGGACATCAGATGCCAACCAAACTCAGTCACTTCTGGTTCTGGACAAAGAAAAGTGCGTGTGTGTGAGTGTGTGTGTGTGTGTGTGGGTGGGTGTTTTCACGTGTGTATGTGTGAATGTGTATGAGTATGCAAGTGCACTTGCCTCCTCATGAGTGTGTGAGAACCAGAGGTCAATGTCCAGTACCTTGCTTTATCATTCTCTATCTTAGTTTTTTTAAGACAGTAAGAACTTCTTTCCGAACCTTAAACTCATTAATTCATCTAGGTTGCTGGCCCAGAGACCTTTAGGAATCCACCCGCCTATATTCTCTCAGTGCTGGAGTTACAGGTGAGGACCATGGCACCTGCTTTTGTATAAGGTGCTGGGAAATCCACACTCAGGTCCTCAGACTTCTGCAACAAGCACTTTTCTCACTGGACCATCTCCCCATCTCCACGACGTGGGAATTTTTATCACCATTATCAATACCACCTCTTAGACTCTTTAAATCCCAAGATCTCAATTAAGAAGCTAGAGTGGGATGCACCTAAATGGCTTTATGGAGGTCCAAATCAACATCAGAGCTCCATTGAAAGCTAGCTAAAAAGCATTTGGACTCTGGGGCTTATTTAGGACAACAATATTTTAAAAGTCCTAATGTGAGCTGATACATTCAAATGTCATTATTTAATTAAGTATTTTTATTCATTGGCTAAATCTCTACAGCCTGAATAATGAATAACTTTACCTACTAACATACAACTGACCTTAGCTTTGAATTTCCTCGGGTCCCCTCCCCTTCTCCCCATCCATGTAACCACAGCCCCTGCTTCTGAGCCCTACTGTATCTCTACCAGTTGAAGCCCAGATCACTGCCTGACTACCTCACCTAATTATAATCATTCCATAGCAACCTGCCTTTGCTTTCTGGCCTCCTCATCCTCCTCTCATGAAGGTCTATTTCTTTAAATATCTTTAATTGGTGGAATTCAGGAAGATTTGATAACATAATGACGGTATGGATGAGTGAGGAGTTTAACCTGGGATTGTCCCCTAAATTCTGTCCTCTATTTCTCTCTGCTTAGGAGCTAGGTTTATTTGGGAACATAGAAGAACCACCTGTGAAGATATTTTGGAAGCTTTTAAATAAAAGAAATAGGAAATAACTATCTTGTCAGGTCTCTTCACCTGACAAGAAAAGAAGGATGTATCCAAGAAAGTTTCTTTACTACTATACTGTGATTTTTGGCTTCACAGTTCTGATGTTGCCCACTAAAAGATTAACAGTGGAAAAGCATCAGAAAGATGAGATATCTTTCTAGGACCCCCTACCCCCACCCCAGAATCTTACCTCCTTGGGTCACTCTTCCAGATAGTGAAGAAGGTGAAGAGGTATGCCTTGGGTAGAGACAGATCTGCCACATACAGACAGGAGTCTGTGAAGAAGTCACTCTCCACTATTCCTCTCACCAGAACAGTTGTGATAAAATGAATAAACCAACACTCAGAAGCTGTTCAAATCTTGGAGCTTAACTTCAGATGCGGGTAATATCGAGAGCTAGCAAAGTTAAGCTAGTTCATTGTCCAGCCACAATAAAAATGAGCCAACACAAGGCCCCATTTAAATTGCATCCAAGCAAGGGAGGTGTTGGTGACGAGGTTGCAATGCATAAATACCAAGCACATCTGCTGGGGCGGAACGAATGACTTCAGAGATGGTTCTGCTCTGGTGGTTTTCTGCTTATTTGCTTGTTTACAGTCTCAGGAATACAACCCAAAGTCCTGGACATGTCCACTCCCCTTTAGCCACACATTTACTCCCTCTGGATATATCCCTCCTCCCACTCTTAGACTCTCTCAAGTCACCCACCAAAGTAGAAGTCCTGCAGATAGTTCTGACACCCCTTTGCCCGTGGTGCCTGAAGATACAAACACTCTGTCCCTTGCATAAGCAATAAGCCCCTCAATTGAGTATTAGTGTGGCCTGGTGGTCTTCAAAGCTCTGGACCCTATGTGAAGGCAGAGAAGCTTAGCATTCATTCAAGCAATACTTCAGTAAGATAAACTGAGCCTAGTTCTGGAAGGATCAGGATGAGTATAAAGACGTTCTCGTGATGACCTGAAAGACTATTGACTCAAAGGGTTATGAGTAACAATCTTGTGGTGTTTTAAACAATCACCACATTTTTTAAAAACCTGAATATTTATGCTTTCTTCTTTGGTTCTGATGAGAAACAAATCCAGAGCCTTGTGCATGGAAAACCGCACTCTATTCCTGAACTATATCTCTACCTTTGTTTATTTTTTCTTGGTTGTATTTAAATTTTGTCTTAGTTTTGTTTGGGAGACTAGATCTTTCTTTGCACCGACATTGTCCTTCACCTATAATCTTCCTGTCATCATCTCCCAAGTGCTAGAATTAAATTATGAAGCTCCATTTTTTTTTTCTCATTTATGGTGCAAGGACTGAGCTCATTAAGATTAGAAAAATTATCCAGCAAAATCTTTTAAAAGCATACACTCCCGATGCCATGATAATGCTTTGCAGAAAGAAATCTAATGTCCTAATTTATAACCTTTTTCTTTTACATAATATTAGGACTTAATTTTTAATTACCTTTTTAAGATGTCAAGCGAAATCCATAGAGGTTTACAGAGATATCCTAGAGTTCTCAGAATCCAACAAACGTGATTTTACTTTCAAACTCTCAAAGAAAGTACAGCTCATTATGGTGTTTTATTTAACATTATAAAGTACATAAATATTTATCAAATTGAAAGGCAGAGTATAGCTGGTGATCTCAAAGCTGCACCCACAATTCTGTAGTAGTAAGTGTTAGCTTATGGTCCAGTAACAGTTTACTGGAGCAATGGTCAGTAAGAGGCATGCTTTTTCCTTATGAATTCCTTCCATTTTAAATGTCACCGCTCAATGAGCTGGGCTTCTGCCTGCACAGAAAAAAAGATAGATAGATAGATAGATAGATAGATAGATAGATAGATAGATAGATAGATAGATACATACATACATAGATAGATGATAGATAGATAGATAGATAGATAGATAGATAGATATTTCTCAATGGTTGTTTCCCCCATAATTTTTAATTAAAAATTTAGCACCAATTATATTGTAATGCAATCCATTTTATTACTTTGTCTCTTGAAGTCCCATAATTTATAAGTATGTCCTGAATTTATTATAAGTCTATTTCACATCATGATCAGAGAACACTGGTATCCCTTCTTTTGTACAAATTTTAGAACTATTGTGATATCTGTGTTCTATAAAACTTCTTCCTTTCTATTCTTCTCAAAAATAAGCTTAACTTTGTAAATATATAATATTGATCATTTCAGTGTCTCCTGTTACAAAGCTATTTCCTCTGGGTAAAAGCTTCTCCTCATAGAGGGAGTGCTGGTACTCACAGGGTTCCAAAAATTCACAAGAAATTCATAAGAAGTGCAAAGTCACTCCACAAAGCTCTGTAATTTGCAGATCACTGCTCCAGAGGAGACCTCTCAGTGATGAACATACAATCAAGTTGCAAAAGAACTGGTTGTGCTGCTTTTGTGAGTAATCACCCATTATCTGGAGGCTGTGGAGTGGGAGGGAAGCTTCTTAGTGATGGGCAGCTGCCCAAGAGTCATTCATGTTCCAGAAAGTAACTCCGTACCTATGTTCCCATAAGCATCCCCAATAAACTCATTGGTTGATCAAAGGTAGATTTGGGTGGGAACCTGTCTTTGGTCTGTTAGAGTTCTTTATTTGGAATAAATACAACATTTCTATGAATCTCCTCAGGAAAAGTCACATGATACTAGTAAATGAAAATTCCACTATTTTTCAGTATGAGAAGTCACACTTCTTTGTGAAGCAGAACCATTTTA